GGAAAGCTAGGAGCATACTTGTAACTATTTTCTGTGAGTACTGTGATTAATGAGGGAAAATTTAAGAACATTCAACTTTGTTTTCTGTTAATATTTTAGTAAATATAACTTTTAGATGCTTTCACTGTAAAGTTAAATACATTTAATTAAAAAAATGTAAGTATTTAAATCTTGGAACCAAAAATACATACTATTAGCACAGAATAAACACCTTAACAACCTGTCTGGGAAGACTTTTTTTTTGGGGGGGGGTGGTTTAAGAACTTCTGTGAGGTAGTTTAAAATTTAGCGCTACTTTTTCTGTTACATGATAAATTTAAGGTTTTATGTATATAGTCTTCCATCCAAAGCTTTATAAAACAACTGCCATTTAACATTTGTATATAGTATCATTGCAGTTTGCAGATGAATTAGACAAAAATCACATCAATAGCCACAATTCAAAAGCTGAAGAAAGATTAATTCTTGGTTAAAAAAGCCAAATCATCTGTTTTTAAATAAGCAGCTACATTTTATTTAACCTACTGAACATTTGAGTTTTCTAGTTTATAAAACTAGAGTTGGAATGAAAAAATACATTCTATTTTGTTTGCTTATCTGTATAAATAGCTTTCACAAAATAACAGAAACAAATGTGCCTGAAGATCATTAAGTATTACAAGCAAAGAAGCTCTCGTACAACCTTAAAGTGCAATCTCTCCTATTTATTTGAAATCAATAATTCAAGAAATATTTCAGATGGTTGATATCGGTAATAGAAAGAACCTCCAACAAAGGATACCTGTAAGAGCTTTTTCTCATGAGACACACTGAATAAGAGTTCCCAAATTCATACTAAGCAGCAACACAGTTAAGAAGTGCCAGAAGCGTAATGTTTCCTCAGTACCCTCTCCTATTATCTTGCTAGCACGTCAAAAGTTACAGTCACCTCTGGTATTTCCTTCGTAAGCCAGCTACTTCATCCTTACATTCATTTGGGGGGTGGATAAGTATTTAAAGACCCATCCTCACAACTACTAAACAACATGAATTCTGAGATCACTGTCAACACAGCACACTACAAAGTCAACTTTTTGAATACACAGGAGACCTCAGAGACTTCAAGGCATGGATATTTTGAATACTGTAACTTAAATCTGAAATTAATGTTTAATCATAACTTCAGCACACAGCCAATATATTATTTTAGCACCTCAAATAAAAACTAGTCATTTAAGGAAAAAACGTGTTCCTGGACTTGAAATCCCAGTTTTGCCCTACTGAATCGATGGTAGGGGAGATGAGGAATTCAAGTCAGAACACTCAAATTCACCAAAGTAAAGCTGTTTTAAAAATAATATTAGATAAATGAATAAATTAAAAAAAAAAAAATCAGCCTCTCACTTCACATTTTCTCCTCATTAGAACAGATATACATACCACTATTTGACATTTGAAAAAGATTGTTCTTCTCAAACTTCTTGAAAACACTTCCTTTTATTTCAACGAACTGCAATTTTTGAAAAGAGTTAGTTAGTTTTTGTTGATAAAAATCAATATAAACAAATCAGACAGTCAAATAATATGGAAACAGGCATATGATACACAAAGAGGAAGGATGCTGGAAAAAAAACCCCAGTGTAGCTATATAATAAAGCTACATACTTACATTATTGGACATCATGATGGTAAGCAGTGATTTATTGTGGGAGTTGAAGGCCACATTAAGGGTTGTTGCTTGAACCATTATAAGGATAGCATGCAGGACTAGACAGCAGGATTAAGGAAGCACATTTGGAAATAGTTTTTCTGCACAATAGGACTGAACAGCACCAAAACTCAAATTTCCTCTTTTGTTTCCAAAGTTTAACACAAAAGTTTCTATCTCCTTGTCAACTAGATTTACAGCAAGACTACTCAAACCTACGTAATGTAACACAGTGCTTTGCAGCATGTAATAATTATGCTAATTGTTCTTGTTCTAATAAAGCCCAATCACATTAGTCAGGAGAAAGAGGAACAGAACCTGAAGGAAAAAAATCTGAGATAAAGAAAGATTCAGAATTAGCCTAAAGATTTCAGAGAAAACAGGGGAAAGTACAAGAATACTAAATCAGTCACCACATCTTATCAGACTACGTATCTCTTTACAGATCATTTTCATCAGTTTACTCTAAGGTTACATCACACTAAACTCATTTGCATCCTGAATATGCATGAGTTCAACCCTTCATTTCAAGAAAATGTTTTCAAGCTAGGTGTTTGTAACATTCCACTAAATAACAAAACCCCACTGTCTTCAGGGCCCTGTCACCTGAAATACTCAAATACAAATCAGAAATCAAAGTTTTCATGAACTATCCAATTATTATTTTTTATTTTACTACACATTAGGTATTAAAAATCTGTCTACTTCTACAGTGGTATACACTTATGAAGTTTTTGGAGTTTTTTAAAGCAGATTACAAGGTTTTTTCATTCATTTTATAAACCTGTAGCACTGGCAATCTTGTTTGGAAAGTAAAGGAACACTGATTTAGGAATACTACAATTTTTTCAAATATATTAAAATAAAATAATGCAGAGCAATTACTGTGTAACTTAATTTAGAAATTTTTGCAATTTATTGAAGAAAAAGGATACAGACATACAGCACTGCCATGAAGAAGTGAGGAATCACACCTATGTGAGCTCTTTTTCTTTCCTTAGGTTCTGTAGCTGTCCAATAAAGAGCATCCAAAATATCTTGTCCAAATGAAGAAAACAGACGATCAGCCACCTAAACAAGAACAACTTTTTACTGCCTTAAAGAAATATTTTTCTCTCTGACACTTGAATGTGCCATCATAAGTGCAGCTCAACCTAAAATAAGTTCCGCATGTATCCCTTTGCATCTCTTGTTCATACCATTTCCACTCTAGATTTCACAGTGATATCGTTCCTTTTTTATATTCAGCAGCTTACTTTCCCTCTCAAATTTACTATTCCCTTTTCAACAGTATTTACAATATATAACCATATAAGTGTTAGCTTAGGTGCTTCCTTAGAAGACACCCAAGTATAGTTCAAACTTCAGCCTTTGACAAAGCAATATGTATGTTGTGGCAAACTATCCTAAATGTTTTTTTCCCCAATCCTCTGGGTTTAATAGGGGGGAAAAAACAATGAAAAGTAAATTTCAAATGTATGATAGGGAGTAATATCAACTTACAGATACAAAAAGGACTGAAATTAGATTCGGCTGTACTGTTTCTTTACATCTTGGAATAAAGTATATACTCAACACAAATCTCTGTATAAAGCAGAATTCAAAATTGAAAGTACTGTAATACACCAGCAAGTACAAAAAGGGAAAATTAATTTGAAAAAACTACGAATGTCTGAAGTGTAACTCAAAGAATATATGCACGAGTAAGAAAAAAACTAGCACTAATTCTAAAGATAGGAAAAACACAGACAGCAATCCGAGCTTGTAACTCAGTCCCACAGCAAGAAAGGTCAGAGGGAGTTCCATCAGTTCTCAACACTTCATCATCAGGCAGCAAGTAAAACTGAAGATCATTACAAGAAAACACTTTTCTGCCTATACACTACAGTTCAGTAATTTTACAACTAAGCTGCACAGGACAACAAAAATAGCACTTCCAAAACTAAATTCAGTAACACAAGGCACATGTCTGGCTAAAAAAAACAACCAAACAAAAAACGCCCCACCTCTCATTGTTTACTAACTCAAACAAACGGAAATAGGGAAATAGCTAAATATGCAAAACTAATTATTTCTACTTAATAAAGACACCTGATATCTCCTCTTACTGTCTTTCTACAAGACAACAATTTCAGACATGTTAAAACAACATGTAGCAATACAGAACTAGGTGCACAATGTACTTCCAAATACTGAACCATACCTATTAACTAGAAAATAAGTTCTTGGGATAACATAACTAAACCCAGATCTGAGATCATTTCCTGACTTTGTTAATTAAGAGTCCTAAAGGTAAAGATACCAAAGGGAGAGAAGCTATATACTTTAACTTATTCAAACCAACATTTATTGATGTTTCCTAAAATATGAAGGCTGAATTAAATAAATTATTTACTGGATGTCTCAAGTAAACTGTACTATATGCTACTCTCTAAGCATCATTTATGAAATAAAATGAACAAAACCATGAGCTAATGAATCATCAAAAATCCAAAGTTCAAAAGCCCATCTGCTTGAGAGATATTTACAGTGGTACTGTTTTCGGCTTTTAGATTTTGTAAATTAAGGTGTTCTGCATTATGTAGTTCCTGCTCACTGTGATGACCCATTGAGTAATTACACCTGGTGTAGTAACACCAACTAGAGAATGGTTAGAGTTTGGTAAGTTTTTGTTCACAATATTGTGAGGGTTTTAATAGATAAAATGGTGGGTTCGTTTTTCCTTTTTATTTAAGCAGTCCTTCTTTCTTAGCTGATAGGATAGAAAATATTAAAACCCACCATACAATATTGTTGTTTGCTTTTCCAAATATGACTTACCTAAACCCTACATGCCGGCTCCAGGCTCCAGCAGAATTCCATGGTGAGTGCTGTCACCAGCGTTAACGCACACTGGGGCTTCACAAGGAGCAGGAGCCGGTGGGTCTGAATCTAAAAAAGAAAAGTGTCATTTAAGCCAAATGTGCTGAATGCTCCCCTTAGCTTGTCTATCTGGAGCATTCAGCACATAATTTGAAGATTTTTGCATTCCTCATATCTGTCCAGGACAACATTCCCTGGACTTGCCAACAGCCGAAAACATTAGGACATTGTAAACATCTCTGATGCTCAGTAATTTAACTAAATTAAAAAGATCTTCCTATTTCGAAAACTTGTGAAAATGTAAAGTTTATTACTTAGAAAGCGTATTTAATAGTTCCTTAAAAAGCATTCTTTGTATTCCTAGCAAAAACTTAAAATAAAATTCACTGAAGTAGTCTAAGCAAGCCAGCATTCAAATTGTTGAAAGCTGACTATCAAACAAGACTTTCAGTGGGATCCCACGCCATTTTCTGCCAATACTGTGGCTGCAACCTACTACAGTAAAAAAGCTCCTTCAAAAGCAGCCCCTCTGCTTGGCATGTTGAGTTTCCTCAGACACCACGAAAATTAAATACTGTTTCTAACTTCAAAGTGTAATGTAACTTTTCTAATAACGTGGTAACAGACTTCTCAATTTCCTAAAAAAACAGAAACTCAGGTAGCACTTCTTAGTTCAGCCACACATTTAGTTCTGCCAAAGGTAGCAAAGAAAATCTTCTCTTCATTCAAAATGGAACAGCACATGGCTTCCAAGTCACAGCAAACACTGCATCTCTCTTCAAATTGCATGGTAAGCACATAATGCTGTAACTTCTCAGCTTTAAGAGAAGTGACTTGAAGTAGTCTTGAAATGAAGAGAAATTACTATTTTGAGCACATGGATTTATTAAGTGATAATCTCTCACAGATTACAGAACTATATATGGATTAATATTTCCCAATGCAACTAAAATACACATAGTAACTCAGTGCCAATTTAATATTTGCATATGTTTTTCAGTAAATCTAAAATAAAAGGAAACAAAACCCTATGAATAAAAAACTGACATGGCTTGTATGATATTTATTTCATTTAGGATAATGAAATGTGTTCCTTATGCAATATTTTCATATTTTATGAGGAAAGAACAAATGTCTTTAGACAAAATATTCAGACTTTGCACAAAGTGTAGCCCCATTTTAGCAGTCTTCAAACACAGGTACAACAGATGTTCAAACAAGGATTATCATGTTATTCAGAGATCCCAGAATGCTGGTAGAGTAACTCTTATGTACAAAGCTCTGACTGAGTACTTTTAAGAGGTTGTATTCCTAGGACAAATATATGTCCTATATTTGCGGGATGGAGATAAGATTGTAGCTATGAAAACATTATTTACTTTGTGAATCACTGATCATAGAAGTACAGTTAAAAATCTCATGCTTTACATTAATAACAAAACAGATTTTTTTTTTCTCCAGAATTTCTCTTTATCTTACCTCCCAAAACAGAATTTCCTTTTCTTGTTTCACTATATTCATTCAACTTATTGTTTATGTACTTAGGCTTTTATCTGCTAGCCAGGACTGAGACAGATTAAGCAATAACATGAGTCTGCATACAGTGAAAGCTATACTTCCATAAGGAAGAATTAAAAACCGAATTCTCTGTCTTCTATCATCTTCCTATCTTCCTTCTCTGGTCCCTCTCAGGATCTTATAACTATTTCAAATCAATGGCTTTTACTTTTCTCAGTGAGTTTAAAAACTCATTCATTCCACTTTTTGCATTTCAGTTTAAGGCATTTCTTCTACCATTTCCAGTTCTCAATTATCACTCAACTAAACTGATTAATAAGCTCCAGGAACCAGGCAATATGAAACAGAATCTACAAATCTTATTTTTTATGAACTTCTCTGTTTCACTGCATCCAGGCTTATTATCATGGGTGTGTGCACATTTGCGAGAATACAAGATGTGCCATATTCTAAGTACAAATACTGTAATACAACGATATTTTAGATAGTCTGAAAAAAGTATGCTTGATATTCTGATGCCAACATTCTTACCTCAAGCATGTTATAGATGATGTAGAGCTTTATGACAGACTGTCCCCTTATCAGATGATACATCATAGAGTAGTCAACATAGTGCATCATGAAGTAGCAGATGACCAATATAACTCCTTTGAGAATGTCACATACCTGAGCAGGTTGTAGCAAACGTCTATCACTGAAATACAAAGGGCAAAAAGTTCCACTAAATGTCATATACCTACAAAATACAAATGTTACCAAGTCAATAGGAATTTACAGAAGCTGTTAATCAAGGATGTATTTTAATGTAGTTTGTTACTACTGCTTCCACTGCCCCTCACTCCAACACATAAAGAAGAGCATGACCGTGATACACATTTATAGATCACACTCCTGAACAAGACTACATTCTCTTATCTGACACATCCATTTAGTTAAAACCTTCCACATGCATGCCCTGTCGTTTTTAATTTGCCATAGCAAAAAAAAAAAAAAAAGAAATGCAGCAGTCATCTTCAATTTCAGTATATTGAACCAGATGCTGAGTAACAGGTTCTAAATGCAATCTGTATCTTCTTTCAGCTCTAAGCTCTGCAGCAGTAAATGCAAACAATTTGACACCAGAGCTTGAGGCCAATCTTGAATCAATGCAGAAGTTTCCTATCTATAGTCTCACAAGTAACTCAGAAGACTAAACGAATCCTCACACAATTTCATCCTGTGAATTAAAACTACAGGAAGAAAATAGCTTTACCTCAATTGCCACAATGGCAGCTATAAGCGCAATGAAATTGCAAGACAGTATTTACTTGCCTATTTACTTAGCTTAGTATTAATAGGATGCAAAGCATTTAAAAAACCTTCAAATTAAATCAAAAGGTTGAGAATTAAATATTAAAAATAGAGAAATAATTTTATTACATGTATTTATACACTGAAAGGCTTTCGCAGAAGTTAGTTTCACAAAAGTCAGAACCAATTAACAGAATGCAAGTTATGAACTTTCATTTTCTGTATTCTTAAATCACCAGGTTATCCAAAGATTAGAGAAAACTCCCATAAACTGATATCACATTTAGAAAAAAAATTAAGAGTAAGTTGATAAAAATTCATGCTATTTTTAAAAAAACATCTGCAGTTACTTATGACCTCTGGGAGTTAAGACATTCTACAGACCCTGCAGACAAGTCAAAAATCCCAGCTAGCTGACTCATTCTATTTAAACACAACATCAGAGATAGAGTATTATACATCAGGTTTCTTTTTGTCTTCCATTCAAAAGAAAAAAGCCCCAAAGACACCATTTATGCATTATGAACCACATAGTGTTATTCTACAACGGGCAAACACATCATGCTAATTCTAGGAGTATGAGCGAGAAAGTTTCCAGAACTCTGATTTACATTATTACACTTTGAACAGAGCACAACTGCTCCTTTTATTCTATACTTTTAACTGCATAATCTGTATTAAAATTAATTATATTCTGAATAATAGAATTCAACCTGATCCAGCACACCAGAATTTCTTAGAGTGGCTAAGAAATTTTTATTCCACAGCGGCTTTCTCACCCTAAGAGACATTTTCTTGCTCTCAGAAATCACCCAGTAACAGTAACCACACCGTATTTATTTCAGAGTAAGCCCTTGACAAAAAGTCTCAGAGAATTTTCTTCCTTCCTCCCACCCCCGAATTGAGTTTTAGCTGAAAAAAACAATTTAAACTTAAAAGAAAACTGAAAGTGCCCATTTTTCAGCACATCCAGTATTCTCCTGCTGCTTAAAGAACCTATGACTATGCCCTTATACATGACACACAAAGAAATGTACCCCCTCCAACCTGCAAAATTACATGTTGAAAGTTTATTGCCCTATTTAATTACATCTGATTTAAATTATTATACTTATTTAAATAAATTAGCATATACTGAAACATTTATAGGATTTAAGCAAGCCCATGATTATGACTACCACTCAGACACTGAATAACACAGCATGTTCCTTTTTCTCCAGCTTACTTCAATTTTAGAGGTGTACTCAGAGTCATCTCAGTACAAGTTCCCCAGTCAAAACTCGTACTCCACAATACAGAACTGGGATAAAGTGGTAAAGGTATTATTACTCCACAACAGTACTGACAGGTCTTAGTATTTGAAAAAGAGAATCAGCATTTGTTACTCAGAAAATTAGCATCTTCATTCTTCCAGCCAACACCTACCTTATTATTAGAGAAGCACTGAGTATCCGGTAGAGAAAACCTGACTAGCAGAAGAGACACCCACTTCAAAAGTCTATGTTTTAGAAGTTTGGCAAGGTACCACGTTTTATGATGGGATGGTCTCCTGTTGAAATGCACTAGTAAGCAGAATCTGTTTACGAAGCTTCTGAAACAGTCTAGAAAAATTCTCACAGGAAAATGCCTTGATGTCCAAAAATCAGACTGAAAATTATCATGTTAAAAGTTTTCTGGCTTACAAATAACATAAAAAATGCTCAACCACCAGTACAGTCAGTCCAGTACAGGAATTAAGCTTTTGCAGAATATAGTACATTCACATAATGTTTTTAGAGAATTTTACCTCACTAAGTGACTTGGATTTAATTTCTCAGTAGTCTGTGTATCTAGAAAAAATTGCAGTGAACACTCCGTTTTTTCCTGACGTTTTAACTAAAAATACACTCTACTAATGTTCTGTTCAATGTTGTGCAATAACTTCTTGTGCTTCTAATTTACATGAGAAGCAGAACCAACAGTAACGCTGTGGTAACTTCTTCAGAACACATCTTTAAAAAAAATCACAAAAATATCCTCAATTTCATTTTACTCAGTTTGATGACAGAAGAGCTGTCAGCGTCTCTAACCCCTAGTCAGTACAAGGGATTATTACAAAGGCCAAGTACAGAAAACTGCTTTCTAGAAAGTGAAAAGTGTAAGAAGATCCTGGCATTTAAAATATATTCCAGTGTTCTTTCATTGTACACTACAAAAGTCCCCTTCAGATTGACTAGGCAAGTAATCTATGGTCTACAACTAACATGTTTCTGACTGAGAGAGATTAACCATGACTACTGCATAAATCCACAAAAGCACTTTTATTGCAGCAGAATCCTTTTCTGCTCTGGCTAATAACATTTATAAAAGGATTTTGAGGTGTGGTTCTGAACATAATAGAAGATAGGGATAATTATTTCCTACAAAGACAAGGAAATAAAGTAAAGGGATTAAGTCTAATGATTTGTCACCTTTTTGGCAAATACACAGAACTAACTACAAAGCCTGCAGTTATAAAATGATGTAGTCACTGTCCATTGAACACTGCAGTTTTAGCATATAATCAGGCCCACACTGGTTCAATCCCTGTTTCTCACAAATCATTCCTATCCTTCCCATTAAACTGTTTAATACATATAAACACACATAGGCTGATGTGATTTTATGCCTGTCATAAAAAGTTTTAGCCCACTCACTACACATATTATGTTTTCTGCATTCATTTTTCCCAATATATGTTTCCACTTACTGTCTTCAGCAACTACTTATGGTCAACACTGGAAAGTATTTTCAGAACAATCTTGAGCACTAAGTAATCAGATCTCACGATTAATATTACATACAAATTCATAATGCTGTGTTCATCCACACCATGAATACTACAGAACCTCAAAAACAACCAAAGAAAAAAGCTGCTACTGGCCAAGCTATGACAACTATACAAAGGCCAAGAAATTAACAAAAAATACTGATAATACTTTCAATATCTCATTTGAAAGTAAGAACTAGACAATACCTAGCTACTGTACAACTCGAGAAACCACTGAACAGAGATACAAGAAGTTGAAACAGCTTAGCTCACTTCAGAAGACTTTGCATTTTAAAACTTGTGTGTGAAGTGTGACAGAATACAGAGGGAAAGATTTCACATGAAAATTAGTTATGGGTGTTTTTTCTCATGAGTGAGAAAATGAGAACAATAAATAAAGAGCATAACAACTATCTTACTTTATATTTAATCATTCTGGTTACAAAACAGCAAGCAGTAGAATGTTCCTACAGAAATAAGTTGGTCTTTTCCTTCAAAGCTATCCCAGGCATACAGTGATGCTGCAGAAGTGAATTAAATATTAACACTTCTGTGGTTTTAGTGAACTCCGCTCTTAAAACATAGTATCATGAGAGCCTTTGTCCAAGATGCAGCTCCTCTAACACCCTACTGGCTTTCAGAAATAATGTTACGTGAATTGTTTCACAATTTGTCTGAGTACACAGATGAATATAATTTAAATCACAACTTTCACATCTCATAAAACAGTGAATATGTAGATTCAGGGCATTTGGACTGTCCTTCAAATGCACCTTATTAAGATACATGAGTTCTGTCTTTTCACCTTATTATTTTCTGTCATTATTCCATTACTACTTCTAATGTTTTTGCTACAAGTCATGCTCTCCGAGATGCTCTTTACAGAATTTTACATGTGGTTTCATTATGCTAAGCCTCAAGTTCAAACATTTAGCTGTACAGACTAGGCTACCAAGGAGTTGAATATTTAAATCAAACTTCTTCAAACATCAAAATACTTTAATAGCAACAGTAAGGCTTATCCATTCTTTCTGTTATCCGCTACATAAAATCTTGTACTGCTTTACTATTACTACCACTGAATACACAAAGCTGTTTAAACATGAGATGATCCTTCAATCTGCATGAATTCAGAGTGAAAATCCAAGCATTCATCTGCAGATAAACTCTCTCACACCGTAACACTAACTAGCAAATTAAGACAACAAAGAAAAAAACATGCACAGGGACTTCAATATTCTACAGCATGTACTCAAAAGATGTTCAAGCTCCTCAGCCTTTGGGCACACTTACCATTATAACAACTGACTGAAAAACTCCACTGAAACAAAACCTTATGTCTCCAAATAATAGAATCATAAAATGGTTTGGGTTGGAAGGGACCTTAAAGATCATCTAGGTCCAAGCCCCCTGCCATCAGCAGGGACACCTTCCACTAGATCAGGTTGCTCAAAGCCTCATCCAGCCTGGCCTTAAACACTTCCAGGGAGGGGGCATCCACAACTTCTCTGGGCAACCTGTTCCAATGTCTGACCACCCTCACAGGAAAGAATTTCTTCATAATGTCTAATCTAAACCTCCCCTCTTCCAGTTTAAAGCCATTTCCCCTTGTTCTG